GAAGGAGAGGGGAGGGTGGCTGGGGGGAGCCACGCAACCAATGCGCCGACATGGACACGGGTGCGGCCCTGGGCTGGGACGAACAGACGCAGCAGGAAGAGGGTTGCATGCACCAGCGGACGGGGGGGGGCCGTCTGTCCTGTGTTTTCCCCCTCGACTTGGGCGCCTCCTTCTTTATGCGGAAGCCTTGCTGGATTGCGGGGCCTTCGCATCCTTCCTGGGTTCCCACTCGCGTCCTCATGGATCGGGGATGAGGTTTGGGTTTGAGTTCTCGCTTCGAGCATCTTCTGGGCTCGCGAGGCGGCTTTGGAAAACGTGGGACGGGCGCGGGCGCGTGCGTTCTCCTCCTCCCTTTCCGTCGTCATCGTTTGCCCGACTGGTAAGTGTGCTGAACCACGCGGAAACTCGGCCGGCGTGGCCCCCTTGCGAGAAAGAGGACCAGACTCTTGATGCCGCGTTGCGGCTCGCCTGATGTTTCGCGTTTTGCGTGTTTTGGCCAGCTTGGCATTTGCGAGTGACGTGTCTCGGCAAGCTGCCTCTGTGAAACAATTGCCTGAGGAGGCGTCGTCCAAATGGTAATGCGCGTACGTAAATGTGATTCCAAGGCTGTTTTAATCCTCGAGATCTCTTGGCTGCCCTTTTTACGCTGTGCCGGATGCCTTGGTATCTTTCCAAGGTGTGCTGGTCTGAAATCGACGAGGTCTGTCGTCGCGCGGTGATGTGTCTCGGCAAGCTACCTATGCGAAGAAGAGCCATGATCTGGCATCGTCTTCGCGGATGTGTTGTGTAAGGTTATTGAAGGATGACCAAGGCCATCTTAGGGGCTCTCTTGGGGTCCCCGTGCCTCGGTGGGGCCTTTTGGTGCACTCTTGGGGCCTTCTTGGGGCTCGTGTTGGGGATCTTGGGGATCTCCTGGCGCTCAAAAAAAGTTTTGGGAGGCCTCTTGAATCCTATGGCTCAAACAGAGGGGAGATTCATCCCCCCCCCCTCAGAGTCTCAAAATGGCATCGGAACCTAAGAGGAATTAGTCTCTGTTTGTCTTCTCGCTTGGACCCCCCCAAACACCCCCCTGACACCTCGGCCACCCTCCCTTCCAGGCCCATGGGAAGGGGAAACGGGAGGGGTACCCCCCGAGGAAGGGGGGAGTGATTTTTGCAGAGAAGATACAAGCTCGCTGTACCACCTGAGCTAAGAGGGCTGGTGGGATCTCATGTCCCGGAGGCTTTCATAGGCCCTTGTAGTTCCGACGAGCGCCCAACAACGTCCCAATATCGTAAGCCCCGATCCTCCCGAGGCTTCGAGAGGCCCGAAACGGAGCCAAGACAGACCGACTGTGCGCTGAGTCTCTGGTGCGACTCGCAGGTGGGAGCGAGCCAGACAGCCCCTGGCGTTCTCGCTGGGTGCGTTGGTAAAAAGGCAAAGCGGGGATGAGCGCGTGGGGTTACGAGCGTGCCGCAACAGAGGAACAGGAGGAGGAGGAGGAGGAGGAGGAGGAGGAGGAGGAGGAGGAGGAGGAGGCGGAGGCGGAGGCGGAGGAACCGCCCTCAAGCACCTGCACCCAAAGGGCTGGTGGGAATCGCAAAGGCTGTCCGCCCGTGTCCGCCTCCCCAATGCCCAGTGCCGACGATCCGCTCCAGGGCGGTGCGTCGGAATTGGCGTAGGGCGAGGAGGGGGAGGGGCAGTGTGGGGGGGACACGGGTCGATCAGCAGGGGAGAGGGAGGATCGTTGGAGGAGGGATGAGGAGGATCGTTGGAGAGGAAGCGGGGGCAAGGTTGGGGAAACGGCTACTGGACTTTCCCACGACCTCACGACCCCTTCCCCAGGGTTCTTGGCGACGGCGAAGCCATTTCGGGTTGGGGCGGCCGAGATAGCCACACTGGGCGGGCACGACCCAGGCCGCCCCAGCCCGAAATGGCTACGCACCGCCCACGGCCCTGGGGGGTCGTGGAATCGTGGAAGGAAGCACTGGCCAAAGCCAGATGTGACCACCCAGCTTGTAAGGGGGGGATGTTCATTACCTGCTCGTCTCTGTTAGCGTTGCCCGATTCAGAGGCACCCGTGCTTGCCTTCCCGCCGCGGCATTGGAGGAAAAAACGTGCGCGTCGATAGCTCCCAGAGAGGGCTCTGCAACTGACCATTGGCATCGGTGGCTGCGTGGAGCCGTTCGGGCTCCGCGGTTCCGACACGACCGCCTGTTTTGATTTCGGCGATGCGAAGTTGGCGACAGGGTGTCGTTAAGTGCGTGTAGTATTCCTCTCTCTGAGGTTTAAGTGCATGTAACACATGTGTCTCTGAGGTTGAAGTACGCGTAGCGAATGTGTATCTCAGATTTAACTGCGTGCAGCGCTTGTGTCTCGTAGGTTCAAGTGCTTGTAGCGCTTTTGTCTTTCAGGTTTGAACGAGTGTAGCGCCGGAGTGTCAAAGGCGTAAGTGTACAGCGCTTGTGTCTCTAAGGTGTAAGCGTTTCTCTAAGGCAAAAGTGCGCGCAGCGCTTATGCCTGTAATGTTGTAAGTGCGTGTGTTGTTTGTCTGTCTACGTCTCAGTAAGGGCGTGTAGTATGTGTGTCGCTAAGGTTTATGTGCGGGTAGCGTCTGTCTCTGTAAGGTCCACGTGCGTGTGGCCTTTGCAGGGTGCAAGTGCGCACGGAATGGGTGAAAACGGCACCGGGAACGCCGCGCGCGAGCGGGCGCGCGCTTGGCGCACGCGAAACAGTGCCGCGGAGAAGTGGCCCGTTGCAGCGGGAAGTGGCCCAGTTCAAGGGGGAGTGGATTTTGTTCCAGGGTCCCCTTTGTCAGAATACATAAAGCCCCACCAGATAGCACTTGGTACTCTACGGCCTTAACGTGCCAGGGGGCACGGTGGCGGGCATTGCCGACGGCCAACCTTGGTTCCCGGGGCATCTAAGGGAGGGGCTGTATGGCTTACGGACGAAGCGCCGACCTTCAGGGTAACGAAGGGCGTGACCGTACGCGGGACCTTACGGGAGACGGCAAACAATCTTTACCAGTGGCGAGGTATTTCGGCCTGCAGGTGTTTTTCTCTCCACAGCAGCTAGGGAGCCCTTGGTGCGAACCTTGGCTTGGGAGTGATGTTGTGTGTTTGCTGTTGCCACAGCCAGCGAGGGTTACAAACCTTCATCATCGCTCAGAGGCCCGTAGGCAGGCTCCAGAAGACGGGCGAGGCTGCCCAGGGGGCCAGTGCTCAACTGCTGCGGCGTACAGCCGCGGAGAGCCCCTTGCGGCCGCAGGTGCGGGCACTGGCGAGTCTGTCCCCATGCTGCTGAAGGCCCATGGACGGGAGCGCACGCGCTGCGAGGGGCAAGGAGCGTGAAGGGAGGGATTAGAGTGCAAGGCACATACAGCGCTGCAGCACTGTATGTGCCGAGCGACGAGGAATCGGCAAGTCCGTGCCCCGAGGGCACGCCACATCACACTTTTGTTTTTCCATGGTCGGGATCTCCTGGCTGCTGCAGTACAGATGAGACCACAGGGGGATGCGAAGGAGATGCGAAGATGGGGCGGGAAGGCACTTTTGGATAGACACTCAACACTCCTCGCCCTCATCCACCTCCCTCCCCTCCTCCACACCCTCCCGTGGCATGCCATGAACCGCTCATCGCATTCTACACCCGACGCTTCTGCGGCCCGAGCAAGCGAGGGTACTGCGCACATTCCGTGTTGCGCCCTTGTCGTTGAGGTATTCGTTTAGTCTCCCGTCTCATTCCAGTCCCGCCCGCCTACAGAATCCGTTTGTGTAATCCTTTTGGGTTCTACCCGAACTTGTCCTCCTCTGCCTTCTCCTTCCCCTCTTACCCTCCTCTGCTTCCCTTCCTCCCTCTCTCCTCCTTGTCCTCCTGCTTCGCTCCCCCCTCCTCCCCCCCCCTCCTCTCTTCCTCCCTCACCCTCCTCCTAGCTCCTAGCTCCCTCACCCTCCCCCTCTCCCCTCCTTCTCCCTCCTTCTCCTCCTCTTCCACCTCCTCGTCCTCCCTCCTCAGCAGTTCACGCAGCGTAAGTGTGTGTGTGTGTGTGTTGGCGGCGAAGGTCGACGTCTGAGAGCATTACCTCGGTGCTGCCCCCGGTGGGCAATGCTGACATGACTTCCCCACCCTCTGCTCCCGGACCTCCAATATGCTTTAGTCGCGACGCGGGCCGTTGAAGCCCTCAGCCCCCCCATCCCCAGGGCTGTTTTTGCCCCAACCATCCTGTGGCGTTGGGTCCTCGTTTTGAATGCGCAGCGGGCCGCGTCCACTCCTTCTAGTCGTCCTCCCGCTCCCCCTGAAGCCCCACCTCCAGGGCTGTTCTTTGTCATCCTGGGGAGTCTTTTGACGGTCCCAGGCGCCCGAAGCGGACGTCCAGAAGCTGGGATCGGCAGGCGGCAAAGTGTTCAGCCAGTTCTGATGGTTCGGGGTTCCTCTCCGTCGCCGTCGTTCTTCGGCCGAGAGGTGCCGCCCATAGGCGACCCGTTCGGCTCTGAGCGGATGCTCGGCTTCGGCGACGTGGCGCTCCCAGGCCGCCTGGCATGCAGGGTCGGCCGTGGTGGTAACAGGTCGCCTAGCACACGTATTGCGAAGGCCTTACGGCCGGTGCCGCCGACGCTGAATGGCGACGATGACGGCGACGACGACGAGCGCTCTCGGGGGCCTCTTGGTGGGAGGCTCGACATGCCCGTTCGGCCCCCCGTCTGGGCTCCCTTTTGGAGCCGTCTTGGGGGCCTCTTCGGCTGTCCTGGAGGCCTCTTGGGCGGTCTGGGGGCCCTCTTGGGTTGTTTTGGGGCCCTCTTGCAGGCCTCTCGGGCCATCTTGGGGCGGTCTTGGGGGCCTCTTGGCCAGTCTTGGAGCGTCGGGAAGCTGACAAGGCGAGAATGCCGAAATATTTCAAATGTTTGCCTCTTGGAAGTCCTCTTGGAAGCCTCTTGGGACGTTTTGGAAACCTTTGAGCCGTCTGTATGCTACGTTGGCGACTTGGACCGATAATCCGGCGATTAGGAGCCCTCGATGAC